CCCCCACCTGCCCCCACACTCTCAGACTTCTCTGGTCTGTCACTGGAGAGGCGCGCCAAGCACTTATTACAGCAGGCTCGTTGAAGAGCCGCCCTGCACCCGCCCCGCCCTGTCTGGAACCCGGTCTAGCATTTGGAGCCCCTCTGTTGCTCCTCCTGAACCAGGCAGGCCAGTTCCACCGGGAGAGCGTGCTCTGCCCTGCATCCCTTTCTAACCTGGTCTTGGTCCTCCTCAAATACAAAGCAGCGACCCCTGCCATCCTCGCCTCCAATTTGCATATTTGCACCCAGACTCTTTCTCTCGACGGGACCCCTACCGTCGGACCCCAGCACAGCGGGTGCGAGTCCCTCCACCTTGAGCACCCCACTAAACCCTGTTTCCATGGACCCGATAGTGTCGGTCTGCGGGCTGTTGACCCGGAGAAGCGCGCCCCCTGCTGTCCTCGTTCCCGAATTCGGATGTTTGCGCTTGCCTGTCTCCAACCGGGTCACGCCCTCTTGCCCCCTGAAGGAGGACCCAGGGCACAGCGCTGCGCAGTCATCTCGCTAGCGCGGGAGTCCTTTCCACGGCGGGGCAGTCCTAGGCGGCGGCCCCCGCACTCGGAAACACGCGCCCCCGCGGTGCCTTGGTTCATCTCCTCCACCTCTCCTTTGGATAAAGCTGCCGGCGTTGGCGTTTCCCCGTCCGGCCCTCTCGCCCCCGCCCGCGCTGCCCCGCTCGCCCCTGACCCGGATCAGCGAGTCCAGCGCGGGGCCATCCAGACACGTGTAGTTCCGCAGCAGCTCCCACTTGTCCCGCTGGAAGCTGCGGCTGGAGTCCTGCGCGGCGGGCCCTTCCAGCGCCCAGAACACGCCGGTGCCCAGCGCCAGGTAAGCCAGGTAGACGAGCAGCAGGAGCACGGTGTTGGGCACCACGCAGCCCCGGGCCCCGCACGCGGGCGCCGCCCAGGATCGCAGGCCGTGCATAGCTGGACTGCAGCCGGAGCGCTGGACAAGGGCCCAGGCAGAAATGAATGGCCAGAAGCCCAGCTAGTCCCTTCTTGAGCAAACGCTCCGGAGAGGGGGAGTGCTGGGGAATCGGACAGCCCTGCCCCACCCGCCTGGAGATCCAATCCCGGGAACAAAAAGGGACTGAGCCGTGGACATCTGGCCCCGCCTCAAACATGTGTGGAGTGCCCACCCCCAGGCCTGGACCCGAGAGGAGAGGGCTGCTGGCTAGAGAAGGAAGGGGCCCAGAGCCCCGCGTCATTTCCTGCCGCAAACTGTGGGAGGGCCTCCTGGAAACCACAGGCCAGGGGAAGAGAAAGTAGAAGCCAAGTTTACTGACTTAGGGCCCCTGCCTATGGCCTCGGACCCTGGGGCTAGCGCCAAGGACTTGCTGTCTGTCAAGTCCTCCCTGGGTCACTCACACCACTGTCCTTCCCTTTGGGAACCCAAGGAAGAGGGACCCCAGCTGATGACCTCTTGTCCATACATTGGGAGGCAGAGGAGCCTTGACCAGAGGCCTTGTCCATGTTCCGCTTCTGAGAAGACCGCCCAAGTCCCTCCTCCACACAGGTCACAGGAAAGGTCCAGGGGTCCTATTTCCTGGTCCTTGGTGGGTGTCAGGAAGCCCAGGGGCGTAACCTGTATTCCTGTTGCTGCTGCAGGTCCTTCCCTAGGCCTCCTGCCTGGAACCTCCTCTGCTCCAGAACCTTGCTGCTGGGGTGGCGGGAGAGATAGCTCCAAGGTTTCTGTCCTTGGTGAGACTGGGCCTCGGATGGACTGGTCTAAATCTCTCCTCTCTTGGCCAGAGCTGTTGCAATCTGGCAGGAGACAGGCCAGGCCTGGAAGGACATTCCCAAAGGACACCAGGCCTCTGTGGAGCTCATTTCCGGGAGGGCTCCTGGGATCTGTTGGTTCTCTGGCTTCCCAGGGGCTGTCAGAAGAACTAATGAAATCAAGGGGAGGCCATGTCCGGGGAAATGATGGGAGCCCCAAAAGGCCCCCAGTCTTGTTCACGAATAGGTGGAGCCCTCAGGCTACAGACGAGGGGAGCCAGCGAGCTGTGAGAGGCAGCTCACCCGCCCATCAGCTGAGAGAGTCCTGAGGGCAGGTGTCTTGTTTGCACCGATGGATGCTAAGTCTCTGCCCAGCACCCGCCCCCCCCCCAGACCCTTCCCGGCCGGCACCCCCATGGGCTCTCCTCACCCCC